GGTTTTAGGGTTTTTGGATTTAGGGTTTAGGGTTTAGAGTTTAGGGGTTTTGAAAGGGTTTGAGAGTTTATATAGGGGTTATATGGGGATAATGGAAAAGAAGCTGGAAACTATTACAATTGTTTTTTTAAGGTTTTAGTGTTCAAGGCTTTTGGGGTTTATTTGGGGTTTGGGGTTTATGGTCCCGAGTTGCTTTTTTAAGGTTCAGGGTTTAGGGTTTAGGATTAAGGGTTTGGGGTTCACGGTTTCGGGTGGAAGGTTAAGGGTTTAGGGTCAAAAGTTTAGGGCCAAGTTTTCAGGGGTGAGGTACAGATTCAGGAGCTGATATGAAGTTACCATTCTTAGACAAATGGACCCTCTGCAATAGAAGTGGACAAGAAAATGAAATCAGACACAACTTTCTTAGGGATTATACAATAGCGGAGATATATATATATATATGTATGTCATATATGTATATTTACTTTAATTAAGTAATATAACAGCTCGATTTCATGGTTTCCTCATGAAGGTAACTTTGTTGATGCTCCGCAACACTCTATAAACCCCGAAGCCCTGGGTTCATTGCATTCTCCCTAAACCTAACCCTAAATCCTACACCCTAAACCCTAGATCCTAACCTACATAACCCTAAACCAAAAACGCTAAAGCCTAAACCTAAAACCCCCAAACCCTAAACATAAAACCCCCATACCCTAAAACCCTCAAACCCGAAAACCCCACTTAACAGCCAGCCAAATGCTGGAGCTATCGCAGCTCGTCTTGCGGGACATGGCCGGATCAGGCACTGCAGGCGGTGATTGACCGATGGGCTGAGCTGCTTATGGCTGGGGAAGGCCAGGTGGGTTTAGGCTTTTGGGGTTGAGGGCTGTAGGGTTTGGTGTTTAGGATTTGGCGTTGAGGGTTTGGGGTTTAGGGTTTGGGGTTTAGGGTTTGGGGATTAAGGTTGGGGATTAGGGTTTAGGGTTTGGGGTTTGGGGCCTGGGAAGGGGCAATTTGCTCGGGGAGGTGGGGGGTTAAAATGTCGAAGTGTCCAGCTCGAGGTGTCCAAAGGTAAGTTCTTGATCTGTATTTTGTCTTATAGTCCCCCTTTTGTGGATGGAATATGGGGTATATGGGGATCTTAAGATAATATACCCAAAGCCATATTCGTTCTACTTGAGGGGAACTATATACTACCCCCCGAAGTGAAAGGCCGCCAACTGGAGAGGTAGGATTGGTTACCTAAACCCTAAACCCTGAACCCTAAACCCTAAGCCCTATACCCTTAACCCCTAAAACTCTAGTGTATCTTGGCTTGGGGTCCTTGGCGGCAGGATTTTTTTACGCGGGAAGTATCCTGAGCCGGATCTCCCATATGTCCTAAACCCTATAAGCCCTAGCATTGAAGGATTTTCAATCACACTCACCAAAGAAGCGCTGGAAGCCCTATACACTCAGAAAGGTTTCCAAACCTTCCATCAACAGAGCAACCAACTAGCAGCAAAGTCTATAAGATATCATCCCCAGCGAACTGCTTCCTCACATGTGGTTTATACGAACCAAGAGTAATCCAGACCCCAAACCCCAAACCCCAAACCCCAAACCTTAAACCCTAAACCCCAAACCCTAAACTCTAAACCCTAAACCCCAAACCCCAAACCCCAAACTGCGTCCATCTATGTTCTCCAGTCCAAACATGGCTTCCATGTCCTGTCCAGTCCCCCAACCCCTCAGAAAGCCTAAATAGTATAGGGTTTAGGGTTTAGGGGATAGGAGTTCTCATGTTCTTCTCCATTCCCCTCTAACCAGACATAACTTCTATAACCCCTATATCCACCCAAGTTTCCACTTGATTTTCCGTGGTTCTTTTCCATTTGATTCCCTACACCCTAGACAAACCCGTGATGGTCCCAGTCCTCTTGTCTTTTCATCTTCAGCGTCTGGGCAGGAGGTGCATGGGATTTCAGCTCAAGGCTCTAGGGCTTCACTCGATGTAAAAGGGGTTTAGGGTTTAGGGCGTAAAAACCTCCTTAAAGTAGGAAGAACATGAGGCATTACGGGGACCTCATTTTGATATTGGGCAGTTCCATATTCTATCTACTTAAGGGAGACTATAGGGTTAGAAGTTTTAAGCTTAGGCCTGATTTGGGCTTGAGGTTTACGGCATAGGTCTTAAGGCTTAGGGTACAGTGCCCCCTGATCTTTGCATAACTCGAACCCAAGACCCGCTTTAAGCTAAAGCTTTTAAGTGCTTACGATCGAATGAGAGGCCACTCTAGGCCAAGATTGTGTGTGATTGGGCATTGACTCACCAAAAATAGCTTTGTTGCCTGCCTATGGAGGCCGCTGAACTACGTCGCTTACAGTTGAAGATTTGGCCATAAGGGGTTCCCACAACTAGGAGCAATTATTCGGAAGTTCCTATAATAAGGACTGTGGTAACTTGAGGTTCATGCTGGGGTCCTTCCACTAAGGGAGAATACAATTTAGGACAGCGAATTTCAAAGCCTTGCGATTTCCCAGCTCTAGGCCTTAATCTCCTCCCCCTAATATTGAACCTGCCCCCCCTCTGATATTAACAACTACCCTTGCGTCATACTATAATATCTATTAGGAATATTTGAGAAAATATTTAGTATTCGGGGGGTGCGACGGTTAATTTTGGGGGAAGGGATTAGTGGCCGTGATGATGGACAGGCTTGAGGATTTGTAGGAGTCAGTGCCGAGCCACGCCCATGAGCAGTACGCCATCAAAGCATTTCAGTAGCAGTAGGGCGTAGGGTTTGGAGGGTTAAGGGGCCTAAGGGTTCAGAGCCTTGGGTACCACATCGTAGCATTACGGTAGGGATAGGGTATGGGGTTTAGAGGGTTGAGGGCTTCAGGGTTCAGAGCTTTGGGTTTAGGATTCTCAGGTGTTCTTTGACTTACTGGTTGTTAGAAGGGACTAAGGTAATCTTAATAGACTGTCTTCCCTTATTCCCTACTAGCCCCCCAGTAGACTGAGGACTGAAACTCTACGGTTCCCTGTTCGCGAGAAACCAGCGTCAGTGTGTGGCTTGGAGTATAAGCTAGGTTGGCTCTTAAAACCCTCTGAAAATGTTCGTATATAGCGTCCCCTCTTGAAGCCATTGGGGAAAATCTGAAATATCCCTGGGGTCTACCCAGTAAGTACGGCATTGATTGCGCACTGTGCGCCGCCTCTCTCTCGAATTTCCACTAATGATGACCATAACATTTTCTCCGGTTTTCGGGGGACTGGAAGGCTGAGAAATACTCAGCACAATACGCTGAACCCTAAACCCCTGAACCCTAAACTTACCCTAAACCCTAAACCCAAAACCCTAAACCCTAAACCCTAAAACCCCTAAACCCTAAACCCTAACTGAACCCCAAACCCCTGGATAGCAGGAGAGGTCATCGCTAGCACCCACGCCTCCAACCACTTGTTCGGATTGATTCGCGAAATAACTGTAGAATAGGGTTTAGGGTTTAGGGTTTAGGGTTTAGAAACCTAAATAATTACCAACATCATGGTCCCGGGCTCCTGTTCTGAAGTCTAGTATAGGATACCTCAAATAAGCCCCACCTACCGTTTAAGAATAAATTCATCACGCGGAACTCTGAACCAGGCTCCCAACCATCTGCATCTCCGCCGTCCTTTGCTCCTCCTCTTGCCCCAGACGTGCCTGTAAGCTTCAGGAAGTACCTACTTGGAGGGTCCCTGCGACTTAGTGAGCAGAATTTAAGGTCCAGGGTTTAGGGTCAGGAGGGGCTTAGTAATTAGGTCAATGATATTCATTGCATACTTACTGATTACTGCGTGCTTTTAGGTGAACCCTCCAATGTATTGCAAAATACGAAGCCTAATCCCAAAAAACATACTAGACCCAAAGAAGGAGTAAGTTCTGTTGTAGAGTC